ACCAAAAGACAACCCTGTTGCTAGCATCAAGATGCATCCTAGAGAGACCAAAATACTCCGAGTCATCAAAGGGGGAAATGACCCCAGCATCACTGCTGGATGCCATCCCTGCCACAATGACAGCTCAGCTCCTGGAAATCTCAGCACAGTTTGACTGATGTATGTTTGACTTTGCACTTCCACTCCGAACTGTTGTATAAAACTGGTGAATGCTGTTAAGTAGTTACTTCCCTCCACAAATAAGAGGCATTTACACAAGGTAATAGTGGTTTTTCCTCTTCATAACACAGAACCCCATTTCCAAAGCCCATTAGCAGGCCTTCTGGCTGATGGAGCTACTCAAGAGAAAAGTGTCTCAGCTATCCAGGTCTTTCAGCGAATAGGTACAAGATCCCTACCTTGTGTAGCCCAGAAAATGCTGACAGATGCAGAAGTCACATCTTTGCTCTTTACCCAGCTGTTGTTGCGGTGCCGGCTCCACGCAGAGATGACGCAGAAATAATCCCCTCTGTCACTTTCTGAAGTCCACTGGATTCGTAAACTGAAGGTGTCAGCAGCCTTTTTAGAGAAGATTATTTCCCCATTCTGAGCCCGCTCTCTGCTCCTGTCCCCAAGCAGCAGAGTCCAGTCTGCATCCATCGTGGCCAGGAGTTCCTCTGCCACCACATCGTCACTGCGCAGGCGCTGCCTGTAGTACCAGGAAACCGTGAAGCGGATGTTTGCTTCGGTGTCCTGTACGTTTGTGATCCTGCAATTGAGCTCTGTGGGGTCATCTGAAAACTTGGGAGTTTTAGAGACATTCAGAAACACCTCATAGTCTGGTTCTGCAGGGGAAGAAACCCAGAAGAAAGATGTTAGAAGCTACAAGCAGAAGGGAGAAACTGCCAAAGCTTATTAAGAGATACTGCTAACTTCTAATGTCTAGCCTGTGAAAGCACCTGAGCTAGAAGCCAAGTGTCAGAATATGCATTTTTCATATAAGACCTAGGGACTGGGAGCTTGGACTCCAGCTCCCAGACTTGCACCAGTCTGACACAAGTAGCCCCCAGCCTGCATTTCCAAACAAGACTTTTCATTTCATATGTCTAGTCAGACCATTTCCAAAAAATCAGGACTAAGAGACGTTGTCAAGCAAAAGCATTCTCTTCTTTAGGCCTGGCCCCAAGAATACACCATCTGGGCTCAGTTTCAGTCCAGTCAATCACCTATGGCACGTGTTCACATGCCTGGGGCAGCCTGCAGCAACAGGAGACTGGTTATTCTCCAGTTTTGGACTGACCAGAGACATCCTATTTCCCCAATTCCTCTCTAGGATAAGAGGCCATTTCCTATCCTGAAACGCCTTCTTTTCCACACTTAACCATCCCATCATGTCTCTACAATATGGTTTAAGAATGTTACAAAACAACCCAAAACCCAAACACCTCACCCATCCAGGCACCAAAACCAGGGGGCATGGGTACCACCATTGGCACTGGCCACAGGCAGCACCAATAGCAGTGCAGAGTAAACTTCAGTGAGCAGTATAATAAATACTAAGTAGATTAAGAGTCAAAAGATGCGTAGATCAGAAGAGCTTCACAGTTTGAAGAGAGAAGTACGTGCTGTACAGCTATGAGGCTGGAATACTTCAAGCTTGAAAAGGAGCGCCTGAAGTTCACGGGTTAAGAATGGGGCTGTTGTATTTAAATCTGAAATAGCTGGCTGTCCAAAGCCTAAAAGCGATAAGGCAGCCGCATGACTATTTTCTCTCAGACTACAGAGATAGTAAAGGAAAAAGATTACAGCAAGAACCTCACACCACAAAGGAAATACATATTTATTTACTAGTGTTAGAATATTTTTCTGTCTTGCTGTCTACCATAATTCAGAAAAAAAGACTAGCTTTCCAGCTGTTCGGCCAATACTCATCACATGGCTTTTACACTGTAAGTGTATTCAGCGCTCTGTATTTATTTCTCGCTTTGTGTATTATTTGGCGTTTTGCCCTCCTAGAAACAATTAACCAAAGCTATAATTGGGACAGAGAAGGCAATACAAGGCTAAAACTTTGGCTTAGCTCACCAACGAGCCAAGATAATCAAGCATCTTAATAGACCTGCTGCCCAAACTGTGCGTGTACACGCATTTTTGGACTTCAGATGCAAAGGATAAAAAAAATTGTATCAAGCAAGCTGGGTACTGCTCTGTCAGCTCGCAGAGAAGATCTCTCACCATTAAACGTTATGCATGCAGTGCCCCTGCATCTAGTAAGAACAAGGGCGTTAATACACACCAGACACTAGAGTATCTGGTGATACTGATGGCTAGTTTCTGCAGTGTTAGGTAACACACAAGCATAGAAGTACTGTTTATGTAAATCCATAGTATCTACTACCAGTGAATGTAAGTGCAGATTTCTACGCGTTTTGAGTATAAGCCAAAATAAAAAGAATGCAAAGAATTCCTCTGCTGCAACCAAGGCATAGAATATTAATAGTGGCCAAAACCCACTTTTGGTGTAAGTCCCCACAGATCCTATAGCTACACTAGTGTTTCTGTCTCATTCACAAAAGACTAGTCTTCTCCAGGGCCTCATGATATATTGCTCATGCTCTGCAATTTTCTTATCATTCCCCCTCGCGTCGCCTTCCATCCCAAAAAAGGCAGCATTCAAGACCAATTAATATTTTCACAGCAACAAAGACTGTGAAAGCAGAAACTCTTCTCTAGACAGGAACACAAGAAGGAAAAAGCTGCCAGAAACTCGAGTTCTTAGCAAATCACTTCAGGTTTGTTTTATTTGCGGGCAGGGGAAGGACACTAAGAAGAGAGTTTTGGCTTTGACAGCACCCCTCTAGATAGGCGTTTCACCCTGACAGACACTCAGACAGAGGATTTAGAAAGAAGAAAAGGCTGGCTGGATAAACCTCATTCCTCCACTCTGTCAGCTGTCAAAGAACAGCCTCACTGACAGTTCAATGACTTAATACTCCAGCAGCTCTTAACTTCTATTAAGGAGGAGGAGTTGGTGAATTCTAGATGCAGCTGAAAACCTCAAATGCTGAAAATTTATTCTGCTTTCCCTTGCCCTAGCAACGAAACATCTGCTGAATAGAGCAGATTTTATTCTCCCCTGTTCCCAAATAATGCCAAATAGAAATGGAAAGAGCAAGAAATAGTCCTGCAGATACAGGCACTATGAGAGTGCACCCGAGCACGCATGAACATGTGTGCATGCACACACACACATACAAGTGGGGGAAGGAAGGAAGACTCACAAGTCGAATGTACAATTTGAATGGCTGAATGAGGACAGGAAATGAAGACATTCATCACTTGCGTACTTCTAGCACACACTACAAGTATACTTGGAAACGGCCACGGCTCAACTGCTCTGTACAATGCTAAAATGCAAAGTTTAAAGTCACTGTCGCTGGGATTTAACCTTGTGACACAGTTATTTATTTCTGAAAACCAGGCTTCAGAGCAGGCTCTCTATATGCTGGCCCCATTCAGTACTTTTATGTTGAAGGAGCTCTGTCTCTGTAACTGGACAGTATCACGCATTTCTGATGACAAGAGGCTCTGAACGGGTACATTGAGAGGGTTTAGGCCCAAACACTTACATCCAGTCAAAGCTGGGAACAAACACCAGGTATTACAGTTCTGCCAATTCTTCCCACCTCAAATACAGGTTCAATTCACACTTCCAACACAACCAACACTTTGTGAAATTTAACAGGTGCAGATACCTTACCTACAGCATCCTGCAACACCATCCTGAGTTTCATTGCTTCTAAATTGAAGCTATTCTCTCCCCAAGATTATACCAGAAGACAGGATGGGTAGGCGGACATATTTAGACCTATCCCTAAAACAACAGGCTTTTTAGAAGTTTTGCTGGAGTTTCATTTTTATTATTTCTCCCAAGTTACTTTTCTTCTAAAGATATCTGCATAAAGAGAGATCCCCAAAGCTTAAGAGTTCAGCTGGGATAATGCAAAGCAAAAGCTTTACAATCTGCAGCATGCATATGAGACAGTGGATCTCCAAAACAGATTTGGTTTTGAGAAAGGGGTGGAGGGAAAGATACTGTCAGCCTGCTTTTGTAGGCCAGGTAGATTAGGTAAGCCTGTTGAATCTCTTACCTACATCCTCTGTTCCTCATTCAGTCAACAAGTGTTAAATGAACAACTGTTAAACACAGCTGCTTCTAACCCTCTTGCAAAAATACGTGGACATTGACAGTATTAGAGCTGTAAGAAGCAAAAACCACTGAGAACAACTGGAGGATAAAGGAAGGAGAGATCAAAGAGATGCAGTTTCTGTTTAAGTAGATTTTTTTTTCCCCACTGGTGAATTAAAAGAATTCGCTGCAGAAATGCTGAAGTAACATATGGAAGCCATAAATTCAAGTGCACAAATAATCGTTTGCTTGTCCAAAAGGCTAAAAATCCACTCTAGGACTGGATAATGAAAAATGCACCACACTGAGTGGGATGTTAAATACTGTAGAAAGATCTGTTTCAATGGCCACTGTGCTATTCAAGATTTCTAGCATTAAGTTAGCCACAAGTCAGGTGTCTCTCACTCAGTCACACTACTCAACTGCTATGTGACATGGTCTCATAAAATGGATTTGTGTGTTGAGGGAGGAGAATAAAGCAGTATAAAGTCATGTTCCATTCTAAATCCATCAGTAGGATGTGCTGTCTTCTCTAGTGATTAAAACAACAAAACAAAAACTCAACAACTTTGAAAGCTATTAGAGTTGATTATGAAATCTCCATTATAAATAATTTTTATGGTTTATGACTCGTAAAAATCAGGGGAAGCATCTGATATCACTGTGTTCAGAGCTCAGAGAGAATGCCTGTTGCTGGATCAGAGAGCCCTGCTAATGGTTCGAGGGAGGTGACAGCGAACAACATGACAACAGGGGCAGCTTCAGCCCCTGGAAAATAAGGTAGTCTTAAGTTCTATTTCCCAATGGCAGACTGTTCAATGACACCAGAAAGTGGAGTGCGTGGGTGGGACATGCAGTAAGAGATCCTAAAACCCTATAACTTACAAATTCAAAACCCCACAGGATAGATCAGTATTTTTATGTGTGAGAGATACTCTACATATAGATGATAGATGCAAATGAGAGAGAAACTTGCGCAGAAGAGATTCTGCAGGGTCCTGTCCCTTTTCTGATGGGACCAAGAAATGAGTGGTACGTTACCCATGAAGTTTGAAAGCAAAATCACTCACCTAATGCTGTCACCGCCACACTGACTGGTGCAGATGTTCTCTCCACCACCTTATGCCAGCTCCCATTGTGCAGTGGTATCCAGACAGCTGCTTGGCAGAAGTAGTAGCCAGAGTCTTCCACATCCACATCACGCACCAACAGGCGATAGGAATTCCTATCTACATGGCTCAGGCTGATGAGAGTTGAATCGCTGACAACAGAATCACGGTCCATGCTGAGCAAAACCTGAGCATCTGACAAGGTATCATCAGGTGACACAGAAAAATACCATGTCACCTCCGCTTGGAAAATACCGCTCCTGTCTGTTGTGATGTTGCATGTAAGATCCAGGGAGTCTCTTTCAGTCACAGACACATTGCTTGTTGAGATGACCACATCTAGAGCTTAGAAATGAAGAGACAAAAATTCAAACAAAAAAGAATTTTTTCTTTTTTTTTTTCCTTCCCTTCCCCCCTTTCCCCCCTCCCCTTTTTTTTTTTAAGAGAGTCCACTGTAAGTTATCTAGGACTTCACATTCTATTACAGAAGCTTCTGAAGTAGCTCAGTAGCCTTACCTTCAAATATCTGTTGGATATTGAGCTGCATGATCACCATGTTCACAAGGGAAGTACACATTATGCATCCCTTGCTTGACTGGTAATGAGGGCAGGGGGGAGGAAGGGAGAGAGAACAGGGTTTTTTATAACTCAACAGCAACTGGTCTGTGAAGGCTTTGTCCCAATCACAGACTGCACATCACCTTCGCACAGCAGGAAAACATGTACATGATTTTCCATTCTCACAAAAGGGTCAAGGCTTTTTGGGACTATCTCTCAGAAGAGAAAGTGTCCACTGAAATCACTAGGAACTACATTAGAATTCCACTTGGTTTCTGCTGAAATGGTTTTGAGCTCCTCTATCAGAACAGATTTTGATGAGAATCAGCTACAGCCACATGTTGGAGTCCTGACTGACCTCAGGTGTGCTGCAGAAATGAAATGGAAGCAAACAGAAGGCAGCAATAACTCTTTATACTGCTGACTCCACTTACTGCTCTGATCATCACACACTGGGGACTTTAAAGCAATGCCAGTAGCCACTTAAAACACATTTAACAAACTCTTCCACTGACCAGTGATTATTTTTAATGTACATAGCACATATGGTCATAGCCAGCATTTGAACAGGACCTTCTGTATTCCGTACCTTACCAGGCTGGCCACAGCTTTGTTAAAAGCAAGCCGTGGGATGAAAATGTCAAGACCAGGAGTAGAAGAGCTGGCCTTAGTTACTGGTGAGAGATGAACCAGGGGTGCTGTGTGTGTTGTCTGCAAACCTCTGCAGATCATCCACCAAGTTACCTGGCCACCACATGTCTTCACTTGCTCATTCCCTCATTCTACATTGCCTAAAGATTAGATTTGGATCTCAAAGCAGCACTGTTCCCACAGCATGTAACGCAGCTGCTCTTAAAGTCTCAACTGAGGCCGGTAGACAGGGCTGCTACAGCAGCGGCTCTTCTCAGCAGTTCTACAACCAAGTCCACAAGCAAGAACATGGGATTCCTGTCTTAAACAGGCAGCTATGCCTCTGGTGCACATTAGTCGCTTCTGTGTAAAACTATGTTCTACTACGTAATAGGTACCCATCTGTAAAAGCTTTCTAGAATTATTATCAGAAGCAAAAGACAACGTATAAAGGCAAGAACCAAACCAAGCAGCCACAACGACTTCCAACAAAACCAATCAATACTCATCTCACTGCTCACCACCTGATAGCACAGAGCGGTCAACCTGAAGAGAGGTTAGCAAGACCCATCCAAATGGTAAAGCAAAGTCTACTGTCCGATGAGTATCTCATTGGGACTTCCCCCTCTGTCTTAACATGGGATAGTGACAGGCATTCAGAATCTGGCAGTATACGCATACAGAGGGTCTCTAAGAGTTTACCCGTATGTATATTCTCAATGCCCCTTTTTTGGCTACAGACATGTCTGAAGGCCTCACACAGGGTTACATATCTGTTGTGCAAGGCACTATTAAAAAAAGACATAAAAGAACAAAGTGAGACCCAAAGATGTCATGATTTTAGGAGATGGAAGTGATGGGCAAGTAGACAGAAGAGCAACAACAGAAAAAAAATGACAGATACACAAGTAACCTGTGCATGACTTATTTTCATTAGATATGTTAATTCTTTTTTTCTCTTCTTTTCTTTCAAATTTTGTTTCTACAAATTCAACCCCACAGTTTACAGCAGGTAAGAATGAGGGAAGTGCAACAACCAGTCATACCATTTACAACTCAAGTTCATTTTAATATTCAAGTGCAGAGGTTTCACGTGTCAGCACAAGATGCTCTTCAAGTCCTGCAACAGGATGTGTGTGTAAAAATTTCCACAACATTTTGCTGGAGAATAACCTATCCCGTTTAGCATACCTTTAAAAAAAGCCTTCATGCCCCTGACAAATTGCCAATGCTGCCAATGACTGAGCTAAAAATGAAGGCAAAAACCCTAAACAAAACAAACAAGAAAACCCCACAAACAAAACTGCACACCCAAACCACATTAAAAAACTGCACTACTACTGGCCTTGGCTATCCTCAGCCTCTTTTCAGCCACTCATTAAACCCCATCTACTTAAACCAAGCTCTCCAAAAGCATGACAAAATAGAGAATTACAGCTTTTAATTAAGCAAGCCCTGCCTCAGCAGAGAGTACCTGCAAGCTTTACTGTGTGACACCCTGAAAAAGAGAGGGCAGATTGATCCTGTCAAATTTCACAGGCTAAGTACCACCAGGATATTAAAACTGTATCCAAATGAGCTAGCCAAGAAACCCAGCAGTTTTTTTCCCTACAGTGACTAAAGGATTATGAAAACGAAAAGATATCCTTACTGTCTGAACAATTCTATCACCGTAATCTCACATTTCTGGGAGGGATTTCAATGAGAGACCATCATTGCCTGTTTTTCCACATTATTCTGTACTCCACTGAGTAACAAGATGCGTCACCCCCGCCTTTCCATCCTCCAACTAGCAGTGGTAATGCTAATGCAGTTAGGTGCTTAGTGCATCTACTTCTGAAATCTATATGGGCAGGGATATCTGGATATCCTCAGCACAGCACTATACATATTTTTGTCTCCTTAGTCAAGCATGCCATGATGAGTTTAACAGAACCATTGCTGTCCTAACCCCTGCCAACATGGTGGAGCAATCAGACCAGTGATCAGTGTCAGTGATAAAAATCACTGAGTAATTTGTCCTGTTCAATTATCACTGCCTTCCTCCTTTCTCTTGATCTTTCTATGCTATTTTAATAAACAACATAAAGAAAACCTTCACATCTGCCACTGAATCACAAGCCACTTTTACAGGGAAAGTGCAGCTGTTTAGTGCTATGGGACAACCCTATGTTAATGAGAGAGCAGAGGGAAGGTTTGGGGTGCTCAGGGGTCAAATACAATGTTTCTTTAAGAACTATAAAAACCAGAAGCAATCTGGAGTGAACTAAGGATGATATAAAATCTAGGTCTAGGCATCTAAGAGGTTCCAGTCAATCCTTCCATACCATCATCTCCCATTTTCCCAAAATAAAAGCTAAGAAAATGCTTGGCCTAATTTTTCATCAACTCAGATGTAAACAGGCCAGCTATCCAAACAGCACTCCTGGAATGTGTCCTGGTTAGTTCAGCTTCCCCAAATTCTGCTCTAGAAATATCAGTCTGGACACAGCACTGCTGTTATAGCTACGAGCCGTGAGCCCAGCCCATCAGTAACACTCACCAGTCCGTTGGATTGCCACGCTTGCTATCTCCACGTTCTTCTCCTGAATCTTCTGCCATGAGCTATCTTCCCCTCTCACCCACTCGCTCACAAGACACCTGTAGGCACCCGCATCCACCGAGGAGGCCTGGGATACAGATAACCGATAGGTGTCATTCGCTCCTGTGTCCAAGCGGATATCTCCATTACGGTAACGCTCTTCATAGCCAGGACCTGGATGGAATTTGCCCTCATGAGTCAAAGATAGGATGTCTCGCCAAGTCGATCCACTTTTGATCTGCCAAGTCACATGCAGGTGAGTGTGCTCTGGTGAGGTGGTAATTGCTGAGCAGCGCAGCTTGAAGGAGTCACCCTCAGACAGCCTGAGAGATGCTGAAGAACGTGCTTTTGAACCACTGACCGATAAGCCATCGGAAATCACTATTGGAGGAGAAAAAAAAAAAATACCAAAGACACAAGCATCATAAAACGGAAGCAAGAAGAGAACACCCACACTGACCTGTTCAGATATGAGGCAGTAAAACTACCACAGAGCAACGCCTGGCCAATAATTCCTTCTTCCACACATAAATATATTCCAGGAACAAGGAAATTTAGCTGAAAATCCATTAAAGGAAGTGCTCCACTTTAAACAAGACACACATTCAAATTCACTTATCCTTCCCCTGCTTTAGTTTCTCATCCAAACATCATCATTGTGACTATTTCTATCCAGAACCATCTTGATTTTCATGCGAGTAAAAGATAAGACACTTGAAAAAAATAGTCTCCTGAGTTATTACAGAAGAAACCTAAATGAGAGAGAAAAGCTAGGGCATGACTGCAGTATCAACATCCTAAAGGGGAAAAGGAAGATTGCCTCCTTCATATAGAAAGATCCCTAAATGACACTATAAATAAGAGAAGACAGATTGTGTTTTTTACCTGAAGTTAGCCTCTCTACCCAGAGGCTTAGGGACATTAAATATTTGCAGACATCTTCAGAAAACCCACTGCTTAGTTTTCCTATTTTTATTTACGTATTTACTAGACAGAAAAAAGGAAGGTGGTGTTTATAGTAAACAGCCTCTCTTCGCTTCTCCACCTCACTTGCTTTTGCTATCATACTTCCGAGTTTTCGATTTTGGCTTTAGGAGAATTAAACAGAACAGGGAGAAGAAAAAAAGAAAAAAAAATCACAATGCTCATAAGCAACAGAAATTCAACATTCTTAAGGGTACATCTATAATCAATATCTAAAACAAATTTAGAGCACACCTCACTCTTCAGAAATACCTTTCACTTGGACCTCTGCATCATAATTTCCCTGAACGGTGGCATCAGTGCTGGGCGTGGAGCATTTGTATCTCCCTTGGTCAGTTGGCTGGATGTTTCTAATCACAAGTTCCACAGCATCGTTGCTGCTCCTTCTCAGTTTGATATCCCCGTGGCCCACGCGTGTTTGGTACTCCTCAGAGGTGAATGTAGAATCCCAGGTACTCACTATCCGCAAGAAGTCAGTCTCCCGGGAGAACTCCCAGTCAAAGTTCTGTTCACTGGGTCCATCGTAGTCACTAACGCTGCAAGGGATCACCACCTCCGTGCCCACGACTCGAATAAGAGGACCTTTGGGCACCCTCACAACACGCCCTCTGCAGAAAGCTGGGCAGGAGAACAAAGAGATAGAGAACACACAGTTAATAAAGGAATTACTAGGAAAGACTTTGACCAAAAAACATGAAATAGAATAATGTTGAGCATCCCACTCTGCAGAAAGCTAGAACTAGCAAGAGCAGTATTTCCCATTAACATTTAATCTCACTGGAGCGGGAGCCTCTAAACATACCATTTTTAGCGTGGGCAATCTTAATTTCATTGCTTATTTAGTAATACATTAGATAGTGAAATACTGAGCGAGAGAAAACTGTAAGGGGGGAGGGGAAGGAAGGACAGAACTCACCATAGATCCAATGAGTAGCACTTTCTCTACTACAAGCTAAGTGCTATGTAAGACACTTAAACACCATTAATAAGTGGTTTTCATTACTACATGAGGGCATAATCTAATCAGGCATTTTTTTAAGTCTTCTGTTGACATCAGCAGAGTCTGAAGTAAGGAACTCACTCTCCTTTAGCTTGAGAGCCATTAAAAATGGGAAGTCAATACTCTCCAAAAATGAGCATAGTCACTTCTGCCCTGAAGGGTCATGGCTTCTGTAACACAGGTGAGCTTCCTTGCCTTCCTAACCGATTTAAAAGGAAGAACTGATTTCAACAGACACAGTTTGCTTGAACAGATTTCTGCAACCACACCTGTTTCCAGCACGCATTTCCTCTTTGGTCCAAGTCTCAGAACACAGGAGCATGAGCAGAGCAGGCTCCCTCCAGAGCAGAAGAACACAGAGTGTTCAGACCATGTTTTCTAACACTGTCTCAACAGAAGGATAGAACAACAACCGCAGTTCTCTGCAGAAGGCTGGCAAAGCAGTATGTTATGCTCCAGGCAAAAGTGTCAACCACTTAAACTAGCCAGAGGACCTGGCAAAGACACAGCAGGAGACTTTTCTGGTTGATTTGGCTCTGTAGCCCAAAGAATAACCCCAGCAGCTGCATGTGGATTTTAGCAGGTTCTTACTTCCCAAAAGAGCAAACTGCTTTCATTCATAGTTCCAACCAAAGAAAGCTTTTCAGAGGAGTACTATCTAAATTCCGTCTCCACAAATGAACAGCCTACTGCATACCATCAGCTTCATATCCATAGCAAAATATTTTAGCAGCCAGGTAGAACAGGAGAAGCCAGAACACTGAAGGACAGATCTTGCTAAAACCAAGTAGAAGGCTGTAACAACATCCAAAGCAGTGGGACTAAAAGGTCAGTCTGAGATACTAGAGAGGCAAAGCCAAATTTAAACAGACAACCCCCCAAACACACAAAGTCCAGCAACCCACAACTACTCTAATTCACTGGCTACTTTGGGAAAGCCACCAGCTAGTGACACGAACACCGATATATATGCTGAGCCTTCCTCTGCTATCACTCTGTATGTCTTCTTGCTGTAAATCAAGACCCCACTCACTGGCTCAGAACCATCACGCCAATAGGAATTCAGGGGTGGGCAAAGAAGTCAGTCTTGTGGAGAGGAACTACCACTGGGGAACCTGTCATAAAGCACAGCTTGTCCCCTCCAGAGCAGCGTGCAGAAGGATGCGTTAAAGAATCAAGATTTTTGTGGACATTTAAAAACTGCACAAGCAGCTGTACACAGTGAGCATAGCTACAAGAGAAAAAGCATTTTCTTGTCCCCACTTACAGTTCAACAGTTGAACCAAGGACTGACACCATCTTTACCTCCCCAGTTCATAACTCCCAGCATGCTTTTTGCTTAGCAGGCTGTTCAGGCTCACAGGCTCAGTCATAATAGCCCAATTTCCTCATTGCCATGACCTTCTGTATTCCACATTAGTACTTCATTAAGCTTATTTGTAATGCAGACTGGGGTTAATCTCTTACCCCTTATATTCCTCCCAGAAGACGGTTATTATGTACCTGATCAAGTGATTGACTAGCCCTAATAAAGAAGCTGGACTACTTTGCACCATTCACATGTGAATCAGGGAGAAAAACCTCCACTTCCAATGTATTGTTGCAAAACCAGATGTCTTTAAGGACACTTCTCTAAACACAAGCACCATATAGTAAAATCACTGATACAGAAAAATAACCAACAAAAAATAAAGCAAGCTGCAAGGCTCCGATACATTCCTCACTAGGTCTTAAGTTGCAGCCCCATTCAATCCTTCCACTTATCCTCTTACAGAAAGTGGTAACAGCAGCAGGTTAAGCCTTAAAGCACTGCCTGACAGCCAAACCAGCTTCCAGCAGACCACTGTGAGAAGTCAGCTCAGGATCCTGACTGAAGGCACTCCTCAAACGCTGACGTCTCTCCAGAAAATACTCTCCTGTGACACTAAAACAAGCAAACAACACTGCTCTGTATGTGTCTTCAGCGGCAGACCCACACACCGTGCACTGCACTAATCCAATCTAGAGGTGACAAAGGCATGACTAATGTGGCAAGGGCTGCACACTGGTGTTTGAGATTAGCACTGACAGCTCAGTTTCTCTTCTTCCAAGGTCACTAAAGACCCTTTGACACTAAATGAAGGTAGGGGGTGATTAGCACCTTCATAAGCAAAGGCAGGCCAAAGGGAAAGATAGGAGCACAGGGACTCCTCAGTGGATCTGTTCAGAGTCCATACCCTACTGCTGGAAAGCAACGACTATCCCCCTCCTCACAGCACAGTCCCACAAGAAATTCCAGTTTAACACAAAGTCGGAAGGAGGGCAGTGAACAGGCTGCAGGAGAGAAGAGGGACAAACTGGGACAGTTATAATTTTATACATTACAAACTATAACATTTGTTACTGCTAAGACAAATTAGGATTCTTGTAAGGCAGAAGCACACAGAGACAGCATCACAAGAGAACGAGAACTTACTGCAGAACATGTGCTGTGCCCTGCCACAGGTGAGGTGGAACATGCACTGGGCAGACACTCTGAGGGTGAGTTGCATTTCTAGGTGACCCAGGAGGCTCAGTATCTAGCAAGATGCAAGTTCAGGGTTCTGCCTTTTGTCCTGCATCAGTCAACAGCAAGAGTATCCCTAGCTACTGAACAAGGTGTTATGTTCTTTGCTGTGCATTAGGGATTAACATTTCATGTAGCAGAAGGCACAGAGCTACAGACGCTGATCTTGGCAAGAGGTGAGCTCTAGTTTACTCTGGCAGATAAATGAGCTTTTACAAATATTTTATTCTTGCAGTGCCCTGTGTTGCTTCCATACAGCCCCTCCATCTTCCCAGAGCAATCGAAGTTCAGCTTTCATGATATGGGAGCCTCAAACTCCATAAATTTGTTGGAAACATCTATTTTTCATGACACTTAATATATTTCGCTGTTAATATAAGGTGACATGTTCTTAATTAATTCACTTGAATCCCATTTAACTGTAGAATCAGATGGAGCAGGACAGAACAGCATATACACTAGTGACAGAAAACAACAGAACTTTGACAATTTGGTATTTTTCAGTATCGCTGAGACCACCAAAGATGAGTATTTAGTAGAAACTCATTAACCGGCTCTGTATCATGAACTGCAATGCTGGACATCAAACCTGCCTGAGCACAAGATTAATTGCCTAAATACGAAACTTTATTTTTACAGAGTTACCAGACCACCAGATGAAATTGCAAGGTACTATTTTCTAAAATAAAATGTAATGGAGCCCCTGTAAGGAGGCCAGTACACAAACATAAGAGATGGCACTTGTTCCCTGGGCTTACTAGACAGGTGTCAGGCAACACTGGTGCTTTTGCAAGGCTGGGCCAGAAACACCAAAAAAGAAGGGCAACCACAGAGCCTTCATAGCTACTTGTGAAGCACTTGATTAGAGGGTTCTCAGAAGGGAATGCATGAAATACTCCACCAGGAACACTGGCAAAGCATGACTCAAGGTAGGATAATAAACTGGGGCCTGCCATATTAAAAATAGAGGCAAGATAGCCCAGACAAAGCCTAGGCAGTTTTGAGCTAGTGTTTGCTCCCTAGCAATGGTCCATGAAGTACTTAAACTAATTTATCCCATCACCTAGATGCACCATCTCATTGCTGTCATTAAATGAAATCCTTTCAAAGAGGAGAACAAGGAAAGAAGATGACTGAATAGATAGGTTGTGAAGTCAGTCCAAGTACATTAAATAGTAACCTGTTATTTTTAGCATAACCAAGAAAACAAGGCAGCAAAATTGTGCAGGATCTACAGAACAGGTGGTCTCTTTAAATTCTCAACATGCTACACAGCTCTTCAAGGAAAGGGCTGGTGAGGATTTCCCCTTGCATTAGGGACATTGCCATAGATGAGGAAAGTCTGCTAGAAGCTTCGTCTTCACACAGGTTTTGCATCTACTTATCACTTACGAAAGAACAAGATGAGAAGTAATCTTTGGAGTCATCCACAAAGCTGAGAAGGTATTATCATTGCAAAAAACACACTTATGCATCAGCACTCTCTTACACAAGATGCTTCCTCCAGCCTGTGCTAGACAGCTCTATCTAATAAGAAAACATGTTCTCTTAGCAGCCCAGAGAAGGAGGTCGACTCTCTAAGTCCGCCAGGCAAAGGAAAATGCAATGTGACATGCAGTAGGAAGCCAATTAAAGCCAAAAAAGTAAGAGCTGAAGAATGAGTAAATTGGCTCAGACTAAGCACTCAAGCCTCTGCATCAGAGACTTAGAACACAGAGTCCAGCTCCTCAACCAAGGCAGTCACAGGAGACACAGCGACAACTTTGCTGATGCCTTTCATCTCAAAAGAGCTTTTTGAACAAAAGGTTGTTTCATTTGCCAGCTAAACATTACCACGTCTTGGAAGGAAACACAGCAGCCATCTCAAATTCACAACAGTTTATGACAGGAAAAAAAATACTGCAGCCAACTTTGCAAATGGTGGTAACGATTTTTCCTCCCTGAACATCTCCATTTACTTTCAATCTAAGCACCACTTTGCTGCAGCACTGTGTAAGTGACGGGGCTGAGCAGGGACAACCCTTCTTGCGCCACGCTGGAGAATAAGCAATGGATCCCTCACCATTACAGCTGTGCACTCTGCCTCCTATTTCTAGCAAAATCCCAATTCTCCCACTTCTGTACTGCGCTGCTTAACTACACTGTTTGTGATGCAGGAAGCCATTTTACAAAACGGAGGGGAAAAAAATATAATTATTTTTGCATCTTCTTAGTCCCAAAGAGACACATCCACACAAATCCTCTTCCTCCTTTTTGAAAGCAGACTGATCAGGCTCCGGCTGGGAGGCATTCAGTGACCTTCCCTAGCGAGCAGGCAGGTGAAGGGACAGACAGCATGCCACACAATCACAGGCTCTTCTCTGGGGAAGGAGAACCAAAGCATATCAGCATGGGAGGTTATAATCCTTATCTCCAAGCTTCCCCTTTTCCCCTTGCCTCTCCTCCCAGCTCCAATTATCATCAGGCAGCTACACATCAAGAATGTCATCTGGGAGAGAAAGAACAAGTTATAACAAACATGCCTACAATGTTTGAAAACCTTTCAATACCATTAATGCAATTTTTTTTTTTTAATATATAACATGATTTTCCTAGAAGCAGCACATTTACACAAACAGCATGTTGCTTTGGGATTTCCCTCCCGTTTTAAATGCAATCAATTAAGTTTTCTATCCTACACTGTATATGAATGAGAGGAAAAGTCAAAGAGATTAAGCAGAATAAAAGGAATTTCTTTAAGAACCAGAAATGCAGCTAACTATTGAAATTTCTTTACT